TTATGAACAGAAATATTTTTTTCGGTTAAACCTTCATTTGATTTTTCATTATAAGCAAGTCTGGTTAGTTTGGTTAGGTTATGATAGTTTAATTTTAGAATAAAAAAATTATAAAATAGGATTTGAGGCATTTATAATTTTATTTTATTAACAGAAATATTTTTCGATTAATAAACCTTCATTAGTTTTTTTTCATTGTCAGCACGTTTGGTTGGTTAGGTTAGGTTATGACGGTTTAATTTCATAATAAAAAAATATAAAATTGAATTTGAGGCATTCATAATTTTATTCTATGAACAAAAATAATTTTTCAATTACTAAACCTTCGTTATAGTCAATCAGAAGCCTCTAAATGACACTGTTGGCAAAATTAATCCTGAAAAACAAATTGTGCCTCTGGGTCAAATCAGGAATGGATAGAGTATTTATTAAAATTGCTTTATTATTGGAAAATATGTGTGTAACTTTAACTCACAAAAGGCAATTTTGTAAATAATATACTGTAGTTTGTGTTGGCTATGAAACCATTGATAAAGGTTCACTTCTCCTCTTCACTCCTTTTCATTTCAACACAATACACGCCATACATGTTGTGCTAACCTTTATTTGTATTTACTGAAATTGTTTATTTTAAGATCCATACAAACTTATGACGTCATTATCATTAAATTGATGAAAGAGCAATGTCCTGTATATTTTAATCACTAAAATTATGCAATATTAGTTTAAAAAATAAGCAAAAAAAAAATAAGCTCCAACAAATTGTGACCTAGAAGTAACCTCAATAGGAATAAAATCTACATCGAATATATTTCGATGCTCTTTAGTATTAGCATTGACTATTAGATACTAAAGGTTAGCGCCATGCATCAATAGTGCCTATCAATACGCCTAGCATAGAGATATTTGTTACAGTCTTATAATTAAAAATTATTTAATTATAACTTTCAATTAATTCTGATCACAGTGAATTAAGTGTCTATTAATAAGTACTTATGTGGGAAAAGCCTCTTGATTGGTTAAAAAGTTATGAATGCCTAGAAAAACTACTTCAAAACTTTCAACCATAGTATCTAACTAAAATAAAACGTTATAGTTATCCTTAAACTTTATACTTCTCTATGAGAACTAGTAAAAATTATTGGTTTTTATCCACACTATTTTATGTAGAGTGTAAGAGTTTTAACGAATCAAATTTCATTTCTATGCAATTTTACACAGAAATTAAGGCGTTGCAAAAAATGTACGAACCCACTGTCAGAGACTCTGACTTAAACATTTGTTTTAAATAATTTATCCTTACAGTTTGACAATTTTGGAATCTACTTCATCGAGTTCCAAACCAATTAGGAGTTCTTGTATTACATGAAGAAGTAATTGATTTAGCTCTGTTTTACTGTGCGTTTGTTTAAATTAACAAAACCACTTTGTAAACAAGTATTCGATTTAAAATTTCATACTCTTTAAAAATTCAATGTAATTATGTTTAATCTTTTAGCTGCATCGTTTGGATTACGTTAATAACTCATAGTCTCTTTATTATGTTTAGTCAAACTGTATTTGTGTTAAATTAAGCTAAAGAAAACTATTTACACGAATTTAAATAAACACATGACATCGTCGAAACCTCGATTTGATTAAACAGTCGTGAGATAAATTCTTGTGTGTATTATCAATTTCCAATGATTTATTACACACTCTTAGGCACACTTTTTATATTTTAAGTAGTCATAAAATATTATCCTTGACTAAGATTCAATTACTAATCTAGAGGTTAAATGCCTTATTACCAACGTAATCCACAGTAGAACCTCTATAACAAGACTTTCATGGGGATTATTAAAAAAGACTTGTTCTCAAGGTCGACTTCTTATCGAGGTTTGCAATAACATGTGATTAGGTCTAAAATAAAATTCAAGGGAATTACAAAATGACACTTGTTAAAAAGGGTGACTTATCGAGGGTCTTGTTATTAAGGTTCCACTGTATTTGACCTCTAGATTAGTATTTGTTAAGTAATCCGAAAGGCAACACCTCAGAAATGAAGATTCAGTTGTTACTTTGGCAAAGATATCGAACATTATTACTAGTGGTGTCTTACCCTTAAAGATGCACAAAATCTTAGAGGCCAGTTGTAAAAGCGCCTTCAAAATGCAGTGAGTAAAATAGGTACAGCTTACATTTTGCTCCCAGCGCCGTGTTAGCCAAAATACGTATAGAACAACATTTATTTCGAGATAATTGTATAAAATTTGGCTATTAGTGTATTTTAAAACTATAAGTGCCAATAAGTAACCTTAAGGATTATTGAGCTTGAGGTTGAAAAACACTAAAGCACTATTGAAACTAATAATCCTAGCAGTCGTAACTAATAATGAATAAGCTTAAGTTGTCAATAATTTTACATGCTTAGCTATTAAGGGGCTTCATGTATTTTTTCGGTACACTACTTTGAAATTATCTATTTTCGTTATACGTTTGTCACTTGCGAAAATTCACCAATATTGTTTACTACACAAAAAGAATGTTTACAATGCAAAAGTTATATTTACTATATTTTTGGGATTTTGCCGACGTAAGCAAACAAAGATTTGTAATTGGTTTGTCAACTGTTTCAATTTGCAACAACCATAACTGTACAATCAATGTAAATATTAACTTGCATTAGACATACATAAGGCATAACCTAAATACCCCCGCCGCAGCAAACCAGCAGACAAAGCGAATTTCCATTAGCCTGATTGGATTTACACTAAAATGCCTCCTTAAAAATGTGATATTTTTATTATTATCAAGCCGCCATGTCGGGAGGTGAGAGATATTATTGAATATATAATGCCACATTGCCAACGGACAGTATTAAAACATTTTCAATATACTTGCTCTACTCAATGCTTTAACTGGAAAGAGAAACTAAATTATCCAAATGCTACCGGGCCATGAGAAGGATTGCAACACTTTCGATTCAATAGTTAACTTATTTAATACAAATTTTATTCAATCTTAGCAAAACTCAGTCACCCGCTACTCATCTTAAAACACGTAGAATTTTTCTATCGCAATATGATTATGATAATGTTAAAGCCCCCGATAATGACTTGTTTTCATTGAGACCTCTCAGATTCCTCGGGATGCTGAACCACCAAAGCCAATAACAGTAACGGTGCTGCTCCGTGCTGATGTTGTGCTGATTTTCTGCTGACGACCCTTGCTGGAACGTGTAACGCCGCTTGTGATGGCCACCAGGAAATTCTATCATTTATTCCAATAACACTATCGGAAACCTGTGACGTTTCATACCTCGTTCTGGATTACCTGTCGATTGGTTTTTCAACGGGAAAATGAAACTATAATTGTACGTTTTCTAAGGAAATTAGTTGAATTATCTTTTTTTAGATGTTTTCGAGGTGAATGAAAAGGGTTTTATTGATCTAAATTATCTAGATTTGTTCGCAAGTATGTTTTTCCTTATTTTTAGTGTCTACGCAAATTTTTTATTGAATTACCACAAACGTTCTTTCAACAAACGGTCTATTCCAGGGATATTATTGGAATTGGACTTCTCTCAGAGATTTCACAAACGCAACCACTAGGTCAACAACAGACTCTCAACAAGTATTAGTGTTATAGTATGAACGTTTGAGAGAAATCAATTGCACGAACTATGTATAGTACCTTTGTAATACAATACTAGGGTTTCAGTGGTATTATTTTGGGAGTTAGATAGTCTCGACCTTTTCCAATATGTGTACTGCTAACATAATACCACTAGGCTACCTAAATAGCATAGGGTACCTTTGTTGAATTGTCATATTATTTTTTTTTTTTTTTTTTGATAGTGAGTTAATTCTTCTCTACCTAACAGGGTAAATTATCCGAAATAAGCAAAAAGTAGGCTATTGTAGAACAAAAAGTAATTCCCCTGCACCATTTTTTTTTAGTCTGATTTGTGGCCACAACAAACTGATTTGACTCGTACAAAGCTTATATTATGTAGCCTCACCCAAGGTCCACAGAAGTAGTGATTGATAGCTTTGTATGTTTGCAAGGTTGTGCTCAGAAGACGAGGAGCGCCTAGTGTGGGACCTGTTCCGAGGCTACAACAAACTTATACAATCCATACAGAACATGTAGTCTCTAGCCTCAAGCGAGGTGTACAGTGGTATAGCTTTGTTTGTTTGCAGGGTTGTGCTCAGAAGACGAGGAGCGCCTAGTGAGGGACCTGTTCTGAGGCTACAACAAACTTATACAATCCATACAGAACATGTAGTCTCTAGCCTCAAGCCAGGTGTACAGTGTTATAGCTTTGTTTGTTTACAGGGTTGTGCTCAGAAGACGAGGAGCGCCTAGTGCGGGACCTGTTCCGAGGCTACAACAAACTTATACGATCCATACAGAACATGTAGTCTCTAGCCTCATGCGAGGTGTACAGTGGTATAGCTTTGTTTGTTTACAGGGTTGTGCTCAGAAGACGAGGAGCGCCTAGTGCGGGACCTGTTCCGAGGCTACAACAAACTTATACGATCCATACAGAACATGTAGTCTCTAGCCTCAAGCCAGGTGTACAGTGTTATAGCTTTGTTTGTTTACAGGGTTGTGCTCAGAAGACGAGGAGCGCCTAGTGCGGGACCTGTTCCGAGGCTACAACAAACTTATACGATCCATACAGAACATGTAGTCTCTAGCCTCATGCGAGGTGTACAGTGGTATAGCTTTGTTTGTTTACAGGGTTGTGCTCAGAAGACGAGGAGCGCCTAGTGCGGGACCTGTTCCGAGGCTACAACAAACTTATACGATCCATACAGAACATGTAGTCTCTAGCCTCATGCGAGGTGTACAGTGGTATAGCTTTGTTTGTTTGCAGGGTTGTGCTCAGAAGACGAGGAGCGCCTAGTGCGGGACCTGTTCCGAGGCTACAACAAACTTATACGATCCATACAGAACATGTAGTCTCTAGCCTCATGCGAGGTGTACAGTGGTATAGCTTTGTTTGTTTGCAGGGTTGTGCTCAGAAGACGAGGAGCGCCTAGTGCGGGACCTGTTCCGAGGCTACAACAAACTGATTCGACCCGTACAAAACATGACTCAGAAAGTAGACGTGAGATTTGGTCTGGCCTTCGTTCAACTCATCAACGTCGTAAGTGATTTCATAAATGATTTGATTTTTTATTTACTGATAAATTATACTTAAGCCAAACTAATAAATAATACTTCACTTATATTACTTTAATTTAGTTATCTTGAACAAGTAAATGTTCTTAAGTTAAACAAGGATTTTTCAATTACCTATAAGTTAAATGCCATAAACTGTATCTTAACTATATTAACAATTGTTAAACTATTGTTAACTATTGTTGTTGTATTGTTAACTATTGTTTAAATTGGCTGCTGCCGTTTGAAATAAATAAATAAATAAATAAACAATATGATAAACAAAACTTTATAGTTACACTATTATTTGATGATAAAATTAAAATAAAACTTACAGCGTTTACTACGTCCTTTAAGATCGTTGTATATTTTGCTCGCATCGTTCTGAAAATATGTGTTCTAATTTACTACTTCATACTTTCTGCAGATATGTAACTGCCAATATCACATAATACCAGTTTCTGACAATAAATCTAAAAGTATTTGAAATATTTTAGGTGCACATAACTTTTTTTCTAAAATATAATCAAATTGCATTAGGCTTCACGAACAATAGTCACCATCAATTGGCCCTCAAATTGTTCACAAGCAAAAAATAATTATTAGTTTGTGTCAAAATCTATTTAATCTCTACTTTCTGCGTTTTGGCGTTATTTTTTCATCATGAAATTTCCAAGTTGTATTACTACAGTACCTTTCTATCTCGGTTTAGTTGTAATACCTAATTTTTAAATTAAAATTTTTTAAAACTCTTAAACTGTCAAAACAGGCCAAAATGTTAATTGTTTTAGAGCCTTTTTACACTAGTTATCTCAAAGCACAAGGTCACATATAAAACCCATAAGTGGCAAAACCTAGAATCTGCCAAAAGCATTAAACTTCTCGGGGACTTTTTGGAACCACTAAACTTAACCTACTTCGCATGTACTAATTGTTGTGGGTCGAGTAATTTTGTGTTACAAACTCAAATAATGGCCATTTGTTTTAATGAGACACCTATAACATGGATTTTTATTGTTCATAAGAGGTTAAACAATATGACACGTTGGTTTTGCATAGAACTATCTGCTGTAACCGAGCTTAGTAACAGGAAAAGAGATAATAGTTCTTTTCACCACACTATCATGTTTTTGGCTGTATTACATACGTTAATTGGTGGCCGAAAGTTACGTTTTGCTGGCGATGCCAGCTGTCCATAATTTGGGGACCGAGCAGGTTTTTACAGGCCGGGGCCGCAAAATCAGCTGTCCGCTTACTTACTTAAAACATGAATGCATTTTAAATACATAATCAAAATCCATAGCATTTCAAATTGTGTTATTGTCACCGTTGCCTAGCAACTATATATTTTTATTTTTGCTGATTCCTCAAATTATTTCTTCACATAACCTTAAAGTTGTAGTTATGTTGACTATCAGTGTGCATTATTATTGTGGTGAATAGTGGTAATAGGGTATAGTGTGGTGAAAAATAGCGTTCGTACCACGGACCGAAATGGTTTTGCGGCTCTCGATCGATTTAAGTTCTCGACTTCGTCTCGAACTTAAAAACTATCTCGAGCCGGCAAAACCTCATTTTCGGCCCTAGGTACGAAATATACTATTACGTCTGTTTGAAAAAAATACACAACCCCCAACGATTTTCTAAACAAAATTCAAAGTTGTAATTTTTTCATTTGATAAAGGTTTATGGCTTTGTGGGGAAAACCTATTAGGCTACATAGTGCAAAAAATATATGCACTTATGAATAACTACCTATACGGCTAATAGAGTACCGTTTAAAAGAATACGAGTAAATTAGTTAATTTTGATCTTACATAATATGTCATTTACCTTCACCGTTATAACCTGACGTAGCCGTATCAATAGTGTTTCAAAATATCGAAGAAAGGATTACTACACTAAATAAAGTCGGAAATCATCAACTTACCACGTAATAATGCCAATTATGACTTTTTATGGAATAATAAAAACCCCGATCTTTGTATCTATAGTAGGAGACGTGTTTTTAAATTTACATAATGAAATTGAGCATTGAAATTGATATATTTGTCTGTAGATGTGCAAATTCCTTTAATAATTAAAATAGGCTTTAAAATAAGCACAATAAATGAATTTTAAGTTTGAAAAATTTGACATGGGCCTTCTGGGCTACCATTCTTGTGACGAAATAACAACGAAATATAAACGGAAATCAAAACAAATGGAAGAAATAAGTTTGCTCAATACAATATATTGTTGGTCGAACTTCGACCATGGGGTGGCCTATTGTTAAATTAAAACGGTAAATTTATCGTTTATAATAATTAAAAAAACACCTTTCGTAAACTATAAAACTAATGAATATGTTTTAAGTTTTACCATGGATTAAAGGAGTAGACACAGGAGTAGTGAACTCCTTTAATCTATAGTTTACTTCTTAAACCCCACAAACCGACTCCAAGCAAAGCTCGGTCCCCTGGTTAGCATAGAATGAGTAAATAGCTTGTAATGAAAGTGACTAGGGAAATAACATTAATGACGTCCACTAGAAAAGAAGCTGTATATAACAAATCGCCCCTAACATTGATCAAAAACAAAATCAGTAAGACGAAATGTTGTTTAGTTGTATTGTCAAACCTTGGTTTTCATGAATGAATGCCTGCCATTTATTAATTTGGTATCTTATTAAAATCAACCAGTCTAAACTAAAACTGCTGGTCCGGGCCCGTGGCTAGGAGCGCCTTCAAAAGACAGTGAGCAAATTAGGTACAGCTTGTATTTTGCCTGTCTGCGCCGCGTTGTACCGCATTTAGCACACTAGCCATAATCAATACACTATTTTGTAACGGAACAGTTTTTGAAATGTGGCGCTACTATTGGCTTGATCTGCTTCAAATTCAATCTCGGTTCTTGCAACATAGTATTGTAAAAAATAACTTACGATAATTAACCGTTTATCAATACTCGTCCGAAATGTAACATTTGTTTTTGTATGCAAAGCGTATATTGCATTGTGACCTATTGATATAAAATCCTAAAGTATCTTTGAACTTTTGAGAAAATTAAAAGTCACACCCCCATAAACCATAAATGTTCGTCATGACGAGAAACCTTGCGCAAAACTATCCATTATTTCATAAATTGTCCTTTAAGGTCGTAGTTCCTTTCTAAAGGGGACTTTCCATGTTCCTAATGTTAAAAATACCTCAGCTGTACTAATCGGTTTATTATTCTTCCAAATGTATTACCTTATTAAGTGTGATTATTGTTTTGTATTACTGTATTCAGTTTTGTTTATTTCACCTTAACTTTTAACCAATCAATAGTTTTATTAATACTTATGAAGTCAAAGGGGTTGAAGCCCGTGGTTAAAGCTAGTTGATCTAAATTTAATATTGAACTTTATTTTTTACACGAGACAAGACCAATTTAAACTTCAAGTCAATCTTCGGAACTTTTTAATGTTCACCAAAATACACTCGATTGCTGATAAAACTGCGAATACTCTTAAATTACAACTTTCACTAGTTGAATTATACACCACCATGAACCACAGATTTCATTCCCACTTAAAGCTGTTGCTAGCCCCTTAGTAAATAATCATTGAGTTAAATTTACTTGCAAGTGCTGCAAAGTACTCTTTTATCGTTCATACACCAACCTTTTAACTGTGCCAAATTTAATGCCTACCGTAGACTATTGGATACTGAAGTTGTATTAATAGTCAAAGGTGCTACTTATTATAAATTGTATCAACTTTCAATACCCTGCATATAATAGCACCTAAAACTAAGAGAGAAATAATGTTTCTACAGTAACACACACTCTATGAAGCTCATTCAACCAAGTTATTCATTTTCCGCTTGCTGGTCATTGTACAAAGTATTAGCTTATCGTCTTGAAAAAAAAAATTATTTTAAAGGATTAAGTAAGGGATAAAAATAATTCAAGCATGATGTTTTTCCCTTTCCGCGACAAAATGTGACTTATGTATCTTTTTCCAAATTTTTAATTCCATTTAAGTGTTTTATTTACCTCCATGAGTTTTAATAATTTTTTTAACTGTTTGAAAATCAATGGTTTGGCATATAGACTCTAACATAAAGGCTCGCACCCTATTATTTTTTATAGATTTACATCTTGAGTGATAGGGTTATTTATATTTATAGGTTAGTTATTATATATTTTAATTTATTGTATTAATCTAATACAATGACAAACATTGCAAGGCCTACATGTCTCTTCACCCGCATATAGATGATCAATCAAATCAACCATATATGGTGTCCGACAGTCAACACACTGACAGCCTGCTTATCAGTAAATTAATGGAGTGTGCCATTTTAGTTTAGTCAACGATTGTCGATAAAACGTTGGGAGATGAATACTAACACAAAACATTATATACTAGGCATTCTAGATTATAATTGTGTTCTAAAAATGATCTTAGTTTAAAATAATTATATTTTTCTACCAAAATAAAGATACATTTTGTTATATAATTTTTTTCAACGGCTATGTGTTGGTTTACATTTAGCCACATAGTTTTATTTAATTGAATAATTATGCTATTTAAAAAATATCTTTTGCGATCTATGAGTTTCAAAATATACAAAATATAATGCTTTCAAGATTGTTAGTAGAAAATTCAGTTGTTTTACTCCTACATATTTAGTTCAAAGGGGCTGGGTTCCAATTTATGTAACATAAATGTTATATAGATTTTGCGTAGTAAAATGAGAATCACAATGATGAATTAGTTATTAATATCCAGTAAATAATGAGTGGTAATAAGGCTTCACAGAAGAGATTAATTATTGGTGATTGAAAAATCAGTTAATTTAAAATTACCATGTTTTACTTATGGAAAATGATTAAACTGTTTTACTTTGATTGTTTGCGGATATATTTTGATCACACACAGATTTAATTAGACACTTTATTATTCTAGCTGTAGAAGCAAACTCAAGTACTTGTTTAACCTGATTTTATTTCAATATAAAT